ATCCGTTGTTTGCACAAAACCGCAACAACTTCATGCCGTTATTATTGAGGTCGCTAGGGCCGTTTTTTCCGATCACGCCTTTCCACTTTTCAGCGTCTGCTCCGATGTGCGCATTAAAATCACCAATCAGTATGAGGGAGTCTGTATTTGGCACTTCGGACAGAGCATACTGCACTTCCTCAAGGAAGGTCTCATATTTTCCCTCTCAACTGGGCGCATAGACCTGTACCAAAATCATCGATTTAGCCTATTGAAGCTTCAGTCGGAGGATTACCACCCTTCCGCTGATAGGCTTTCACTCGATTATTCTATCGGTAAAGTTAGGTTATGCCAGAACACCAACACCGGTCTGAGCGCGAGTCGCGATATCGACGCCTGAGTAGAATAGCTTCCATCCATTGAGGTTCAGGAGTCCAGAGCCTGGGCGTTTCGTTGACGAGAGTCCAACTGTGTTAAGTTGGTACCTTATGGCTTCATCAACTAACTGTTGCCCTTTCCCTCAGAGTGAAGATATGTTACAATTTCTGACTTTAAGCTCCCACTGGTGGTGTCGTCTTCGTGGAGCCTTTTCTGACGTGCGGTAATGGCATCGCGCTGTCTGCCTCCTCCGTTCAGAACGGGTAGCGACTCCGTTGCTGACTGGTATCTCCATCGCCGCTCCGTCGGATCTGGTCAGTCGTTGTTGTACTGCTACTCCCCCGGCTGGCAGAGGGCGATGAGTAGGTTCTGATCGCCGAATATTCGCAATCTGCCTCAGCCATCCAATAGCCTGCGGGGCCCTTAGTTACCAGAGCGAAGGCCGAGCCGATATAATTTTTGATGACGTCAACACCATGAAGGGCGGGTAGCAAAATTTTTACGGAGAGTTTGCAATGGTCTCCAACCCTCCTTCATTCTCAACCGGGCTTGATACCGGCAACGGTGGATTTGCGATGGTTCTAGCGAACATAAAATGCCAGATGTACCTAGCACTGTAGGTGCGCAGATATCTTGGGGACGCAGCCTGCTCAAATGTCCCTTAACCAACTTGGAGCGAAGGGAAGCTTCAATACGCTGTGAAATCTGGCCTTGGAATAATTATGCATTACCAAACTGATGAATTATACATCATGTCTAATAAAGACGTATATAAGATTCAAATAACGCTTTCAATTCAATGAAATGCAAGTTATTGACAACGGCATCAATTTTAAGTGCTGTTAAAAACTCAAGGCCGCATACCATTAGGATCAGCATCCATGAGAGCGAAAAATGGTATATGCAAATGTTTCTGAAGTATCCGCAGCAAAACACGAGTTGAGAAATCGGGATATCCCTTCGCCTAAAATACTTTTTTCATAGTTAATGGTCATGACATACTGGATAAAAATATGTATAGAGTGATGCGCATACGAAAGTGAAGAGGAACACTTTCTCAAGTGATTAGATGCTCCTCAATTTTTAATGTAACGTGAATTTTGGGCTTAACTTACATGAGAATAAACTATATCCTAAAATCAGATAATCGATCTGACCTTACCGTTATTAATATACCGGTTCCAAGCACGGTGGCAAAGTTGTCGGCGACAAGTTTCTCGAAGACGCTGTCTTTTTCCACGACTAATACGTATTTCGCAGACGATTGTATAACTTTGACATTACCACAGAATTGCGGTACAGCTGTCACGGTTCGGCAATCGAGCAATTCACCGTCGCGAGTCTGAATAACGAGGTCTCCAACGATAAGTCCTTTGCTGGTGGCTAACTAAAATGTGAAAAGTTACCTTGTAATATAATCAATAAAAATATAGATTATTCTTTCACAAACTTCTTCGGCAGTGATCTAAGATATGACTTGCAAAAACTAGCAGAACAGTGGCTAGATTTTGCAACTATCGTTTTGAAATATACTCAGTAGACATCAGGAATGATACGCGGTCATGTCAGAAATGTGCAAATCATTCCGCACGGGTAAACCGAATATGTAACAAAATCAGACCCATATATTTCTGCCATTTAAACAAAATTCTTTTACTAATAGTCATTGTCAGCACCACCAGCTTAAATAGGACAGATTGTAAAGTATCAAATTTATAAGACAAAATGAAAACGACAGAGCAGGGCCGCACGTCGCAAAGTAGGTTACACATCTAACTTAGCTCATAGTCAAAACAAATTTTGTCAGGACTAAAATAATGAGAAACTGGTAACAAAAACAGTGGAATAATGCAAGCAAGGGGGAACATTCTTGAGCCACAAAAATAAAAATAAACTGAAAATAATTGCCCATTTTACTCACAATATGTAAAGCTTCGCGATATTCGTTCAGCAATTCACAGGTGAGCCTCACATAATAGTCTACTTTTCTTTGGGTGCCATATCGACTCCGGTACTTGTAATACAAACTTCTAAAACAGCATAAGAAAACAAAAAAATCAATAGTCAATACTTCATAAATGTACCTCTTTGTACAATAAGTACCGGTTTTAACTAACGTATATATTTCGCGCAGCAAACAGAAGAAATCAGGTAAAACCATCGCATTACGCCGACTAAGCGTTAAAAGTTTTTGGAAATTTCTAGAATGTGAGAAAAATGTTATAAAAATTTTATGTAATAATATGGAGTAATTATCAGAATAAACAGAAAACTGTTAAAGAAAACCTGCAATTTCAAGACAACACTTTATTGGATGGGGAAATTTGAATATTTAAATCATACGCTTAAGAATACGGCAATTTTGACATTTCGATCGTTTTCACTTCAGTGGATTGAGAACATTAAAACTAGGGCACTAAATTTTATGGTATACAGATTCTGGGTGTTTCAGTACAACATTTAATAATGAAGAAACTATGATATGGACTGAACGCCACAATGAATCAGATATTGAGGAAAAGGAATGACCGAATATTTCCACGCCTTCGTTAATCAACTATTGGCCTAACAATATTTATTTCTGAAAAAGAAAAGCAAAACGCCCGCTAAACGTAAAGAGAGGTTTGAAACCAATCTTCGACAAAGAAACAGAACTGGCTGGCTTGTGCTCTATTCAATGAAAGACGTTCGACTCGGCAACATTAGGAAAGAAACCCCCTTTCAATTCTAACGCACTGCCGGCAATGTCGTATGGCTGTGAGACGAAGTCACTCACTGA